AAACCCTTTTCCCCCCAAAAAACCCCCCCGGGGTTTTTTGGGTTTTTTTTTTTTTTTTAAAAAAAAATTTTTTAAAGAAATTTTTTTAAAAATTTTTTCCCCCCCCCCCTTTTTTTTTTTTTTTCCCCGGGGGGGACCCCTTTTATTTTTTTAAAAAAAAAAAATTTTAAACCCCCCTTTCCCCCCCCCGGGTTTAAATAGGGGGGTTTTTTTTTTTAAAACCCCCCCAAAAATTTTCCTTTTTTTAAAAATAAAACCCCCCCGGGGGGGGTTTTTTTTTTTTAAAATTTTTTTTTCCCTTTTTTTTCCCTTTTTTTTCCCCTCCCCCCCCCCCTTTTTTAAAAAAAAAAATTTCCCCCTTTTTTTTAAATTTTTAAAAAATTTTTTTTTAAAAAAAAAAAGGGGGGGGAAGGCCCCCCCCCTTTTTTTTTTCATTTAAAATTTTTAAATTTTTTTTTAAAAAAATTTTTTTTAAAAAATTTTTTTAAAAAATTTTAAAAAAATTTTTTTTTATTTTTTTTTTAAAAAAAATTTTTTTTGGGCCCCCCTTTTAAAAAAAGGGGGGGAAAAAAATTTTTTTTTTTTAAAAAAAAATTTTTTTTTTTTTTTTTAAAAAAATTTTTGGGTTTTGGGGAAAAAAAAAATTTTTTTTTTTAAAATTTTCCAACTTTTTTTTTTTTTTATTTTTAAAAAATTTTTAAAAAAAAAATTTTTTTTTAAAAAAGGGTTTTTTTTTAAAATTTTTTTTTTTAAAAAATAAAAATTTTTAATTTTTTTTTTAAAAATTTTTTAAAAAAAATTTTTATAAGGGGTTTATTTTTGGTTTTAAAAAGGGTAAAAATTTGGGGGGGGGGGGGAAAAAAAGGGGGGGGGGGAAAAAAAATTTTTAAAAAAAAGGGGAAAATTGGGAAAAAAAAAAGGGGGGAAAAGGGGGGTTTTTAAAGGGTTTAGTGGGGGGAAAAAAGGGGGGGGGGGGGTTTTTTTTTGGGGGGGGGAAAATTTGGGTTTTTTGGGGGGGGGCGGGAAAGGGGGGGAAAGGGGGGGGGAAGGGGGGGGGTTTTGGGGGGAAAAAAAAAAAAAGGGGGGTTTGGGGGAAAAAAAAAAAAAAATTTTGGGGAAAAAAAAGGAAAGGGAAAAAAAAAAGGGGGGGAAAAAAAAGGGGGGAAAAAAGAGGGGGGGGGAAAAGGAAAAAAAATTTTTTAAAAAAAAAAAAAAATTTTTTTAATAAAAAGAAAAAAAGGGATTTAAAATTTTTTTAAAAAAATTTTTTTTTTTAAAAAAAAAGGGGGATTGGGTAGATAAAAAAGGGGGGGGGGGGGGAAAAAAAAAAAAAAATTTTTTTTTAAAAAAAAAAAGGGGGAAACCTTTTTTTGGGGGGAAAAAGGTTTTTTTTAAAGGGGGGGGGGGGGAAAAAAAATTTTTTTTGGGGGGGGGTTTTTTTTAAAAAAAAAGGGGGGGGGGGGGGAAAAAAAAAAAAAAGGGGGTTAAAAGGGGGGGGGGGGTTTTTTTTTTTTAAAAAGGTAAAAAAGGGGGGGGAAGGGGGAAAGGGGCCCTTTATAAAAAAAAAAAAAGGGGAAAAAAAAAAAAATTTAAAAAAACAAATTTGGGGAAAGGTTTTTTTTTAAAAAAAAGGAAAGGGGGGGGAAGGGTTTTAAAGGGGTTTTTTGGGGGGGGGGGGGTTTTTAAAATTTTTTTGTTTTTTTAAAAAAAAAGGGAATTTTGGGGGGGTTTTTTTTAAAAAAATTTTATGGGGGGGGGGTTTTTGGGGTTTTTAAAAAATTTTTGGGAAGGGGGAAATTTTTTTTTTGGGGTTTTTTTTTTTAAAAAAAAAATTTTTGGGTTGGGGGTTGGGAAAGGGGGGAAAAAAAAAAGGGGGGAAAAAGGGAAAGGGGTTTTAAATTTAAGGTTTTTTTTTTAAAAAATTTTTTGGGGGTTTTTAAAGGAAAAATTTTGGGGTTTTGGGGGGGGGAAAAAATTTTTTTTTTGGGGGGGTTTCAAAAAAAAATTTTTTTTTTTTTAAAGGGGTTTGGGGTTTTAAAAAAAATTCCGGGGTTGGGGGGGGGGGGGGGGGAAAAAAAAAAAAGGAAATTTAAAAAAAAAAAAAGGGGGGGGGAAAATTTTTTAAAAAAAAAATTGGAAAAAGGGGAGGAGGAGGGGGGAAAAGGGGGTTTTTTTTTTGGGGGGGGGGGGGGGGGGGTTTTTTGGGAAGGGGGTTAATCATAGAATTGATGAGGGGAAAAAAGGTGATGGGCGTTTTAGGTTTTATGTGGGGTCAAAAAACGTTATCTATGGAGGAAAGAAGGGGGAAAGTATGAAAATATAGTAGTACCACACTCTTTTTGGGTGTGGGAAACTTGGGTGGTAAAAGCAGCAGCGAGGGGACGGTTGGAGGGCGGGAGATGTCCTGTTTAAGGGCAATTTTTGTGGTGTTTTAAAAATTATGCAGAAAATTCGGGGTGTGGGAAAATTTGGAGAAGGTGGGGGTTAATTTAAAAATTTTTGTCAGAGGGCCGAAGAGGGGTTGTTGAGGTGGTTTGGTCATTTAGGGGAGAATGGGGTCAAGTTGGAAAAAGACCCTGGAAAACAATAAATTATAGGGGAAAGGAAGGGGGGGGGGTAGGGGGGGCGTCCCCGAAAAAGGGGGGGGGGAGAGGGGGGGGAAAGGAGGGGTTTTTTGGGAAGGGGGTTGGATTCCCGCAAGCGTGCTGTGAGCGTGTTAGATAAAGGGGTGAATGGAGGGCGAAAGGTACGGGCCCGACGAAACGTTGGAGTGTGAGCAGGGTTAAATTTAGTTAAGGGATTAGGGGAAAAGGTTTTTTTCAAATAGTCGGACCCTTTAGGGCCTGGAAAAAGGGAAGTACAATGCCTGCACTTTAAAGGGGGGGTTTGGGTTTTTGGCAGTTTGGAGGGGTTTTGTTGTGTATCTTTATATGTTTATTTCTTTTTAGGGCTGTTGTATTTTGAGCCCTCTGCAAAAAAAAGTGATAATGTTTCGGGGTGTGGGGGAAGTGTTGAATGTTTATGGAAAAAGTATTTTCTTTTTGGGGATTTTCTTTCTTTTTTGGGTCACCCTGCCTCCGTGGGAGACGGCCCGACTTGTTGAAAAAAAAAAAAAAAAAAAAAAAAATATATATATATATATTATATATATATATATATATATATATATATATATATATATATATATATATATATATATATATTTATATATATATATATATATATATATTTATATATATATATATATGTATACATATATATATTGGAATAGGTAGCAAGTTAATGAATGCTGTAAAGAGTTTATATGAGGATAGTGAGACTCAGGTTAGGGTGTGTAGAAGAGAGGGAGACTACATCCTGGTAAAAGTAGGTCTTAGACAGGGATGTGTAATGTCACCATGGTTGTTTAATATATTTATAGATGGGATTGTGAAAGAAGTAAATGCTAGGGTGTTCGGGAGAGGGGTGGGATTAAATTATGGGGAATCAAATACAAAATGGTAATTGACACAGTTATTTTCTGCTGATGATACTGTGCTTATGGGAGGTTCTAAAGAAAAATTGCAAAGGTTAGTGGATGAGTTTGGGAGAGTGTGTAAAGGTAGAAAGTTGAAAGTGAACATAGAAAAGAGTAAGGTGATGAGGGTATCAAATGATTTAGATAAAGAAATATTGGATATCAAATTGGAGAGGTGTATGGAAGAAGTGAATGTTTTCAGATATTTGTGAGTTGACGTGTCAGCGGATGGATTTATGAAGGACGAGGTTAAGCATGGAATTGATGTAGGAAAAAAGGCGAGTGGTGCGTTGAGGTATGTGTGGAGACAAAAAACGTTATCTATGGAGGCAAAGAAGGGAATGTATGAAAGTATAGTGGTACCAACACTCTTATATGGGTTTGAAGGTTGGGTTGTAAATGCTGCAGTGAGGAGATGGTTGGAGGCAGTGGAGATGTTCTGTCTAAGGGCAATGTGTGGTGTAAATATTATGCAGAAAATTTGGAGTGTGGAAATTATTAGTAGGTTTGGAATTAATAAAAGTATTAGTCAGAGGGCTGAAGAGGGGTAGTTGAGGTGGTTTGGTCATTTAGAGAGAATGTATCAAAGTAGAATGACATGGAGAGTGTATAAATCTGTAGGGGAAGGAAGGCGGGGTAGGGGTCGTCCTCGAAAAGTTTTGAGGGAGGGGATAAAGGAGGTTTTGTGGGTGAGGGACTTGGACTTCCAGCAAGTGTGCAGGAGTGTGTTAGATAGGAGTGAATGGAGACGAATGGTATTTGGGACCTGACGAGCTGTTGGAGTGGAGCAGGGTAATATTTAGTTAAGGGATTCAGGGAAACCGGAAACTGGAAATGGGAAGTACAATGCCTGCACTTTAAAGGAGGGGTTTGGGATATTGGCACTTTGGAGGGGTATGTTGTGTATATTTATACGTATATGCTTCTAAACTGTTGTATTCTAAGCACCTCTGCATAAACAGAGATTATGTGTGAGTGAGGTGAAAGTGTTGAATGATGATGAAAGTATTTTCTTTTTGGGGATTTTCTTTCTTTTTTGGTCACCCTGCTTTGGTGGGAGCCGGCCGACTTGTTAAAAAAAAAATGTATACTTTTAATATGCATAATAAAATATAGATCATTTTTTCATTTCTGGTAAGCTGGACTTGAGTCCTGGAGGTGAGAAGTACAATGCCTGCACTTTAAAGGAGAGGTTTGGGATGTTTGCTGTTTCGAGTGACATCTGAGCTGTTATATCTTCACACCTTTGCAAAGACAGTGATATGTGTAAATGATGGTGAAAGTGTTTCTGGTTTTGGGTCACCCTGCCTTAGTGGAAGATGGCCAGCATGTTAAAAAAAAAAATGTAGTGTTTAGTTAATAAAATGTACAGGTATTAACATGTTAACTTAAAGACTGAACTGTCATTTGGTAAACAAATTATTGATTAATGAAAAAATATTCATAACCTAAAAATATTTCAAATTACATTTTCTGTTCTCAGGTGAGTTTCTGGGTAGTGCGAGAAATTTTGAATGCTGGAGGTATTAAACACCGGGCAGAAATGATGGGACATTTCGTTAAGGTTGCAAAGAAGCTCAATGAACTCCATAATTTCCATTCTCAGTTTGCTATTGTTAGTGCCCTGCAGTCTGCACCTATATATAGGTATGAATTACTATACATGACCATTATTAATTCTTTAATATAAAAAAAATAACTGTCTTTTCCTATTTTGTCACTGTCTTGGTGGGAAATGGTCAGTGTGTTACTGTTCTTTTTCTTTTATACATATACTGTATTCTGGATTATGCTTGATTAATAATTTAAAATAATGTATATTTGAATGACAGTAATGCTCTGGCATTTATTGATACTTTCCACCACATATAGTACCCTGATATACAGGTGCTTCTCGACTTACGATGGGGTTATGTTCTGTTTAGCCCATCATAAGTTGAAAATATCGTAAGTCAAATATGAATATGATATGGTAAATAAATAACTACTGTCAGTGAATAAGTAAATAAACAAATAATTACTGTAACTAAGTACCAGTATTGCAAAGTAAATAAGTGAATATAAGTTTATCCTATCAATAAATGTACAGTACTGTACAATGGTGATATTTTGACTTTACGATGGTGTGATAGCACCATCGTAAAGTCAAAATATTATAAGTTGAATCATCATAAAGTGAGGAACATCTACAATGTGGTGGAGGAGGGTGTGGTGGGAGGACAAGGCTGGGAAAAAGCTGAAGAAAAATGATCATGCAGGAATGTAAAAAATGAGCATCATGTATATTGCTCAGAGATTGGTTTTGATTAGATGCATTTGAAGTCCTAATGGGAAAAGGAAGAGAATTTATGTAGACGATGGCTTAACCTGATGGATTAGCTAATTGTGAACAGTCAGTTATGTTGAATAACTCCAGCAGTGCAAAAGAACCTTTTTTTTTTTTTTTTTCCTGTGCATAAGTTATTGGCACAAGTGTTCACTGTGGTTCGCTGCATAAGTTGTTGGCACACAGGTATTCATTGTGGCTCATTGTGCATAAATTGTGCATACAGGTATTCATTGTGGTTCACTGCATTAATTGTCAATGGATACTTATTCATCATTGCCTCATTATGCATATTTTGTGAGTACATAGGTAATAATTGTGGCTCATTGAAAAGTTGAGTTCATAGGTATGCATCTTGACTCTGTTTGCAGGTTATGGGGAAAAGTACAGATCAGAGAGGTACAGTAGATTTTTATTAACATTGTACTACAGACATTATAATTTTGAATATTGTGTATCAGATGTTGTACAGAATGGTTATTTTAATTCTTTAAAATAATTATAACTAAAGTGATGTCTGTTGAAATTACTTTATAACCATTTAGATAAGTTCATAAATGATATTTATTTATAATAAAATAAATGAAATTATCATGATTTTTTTTTAATAGATTAAATAAGACCTGGGCAGCCCTCTCTCGAAAGGAGCGGCAAAACTTTGAGCGCATGACAGAGCTCTTCAGTGACAAGAACAACTGGGAGCAACTACGCAGTCATGTTAATAGTCTCAAACTCCCCATGATTCCTTACCTGGGTAAATATGATGTATAGTTTTTTTTGTTGGTGATCAGGGCTGTCCACAGCAAATGATAAGAGTGGGAGAGGCACTGTCAAGAAATTTTGATGAAAATAAGAAAAATTTTTGGAGTGAGATAAACAAGTTAAGTAAGGATCGGGAACGAATGGATTTGTCAGTTAACCCCTTGACTGTCGCAACCCCCAATCCTGAAGTGTCTCCTGGTGTCTCAAAATTTAAAAAAAAAAAAATATATTTTTTCTTATGAAATGATATAGAATCTTTTCCCGATTGTAATGACACCAAAAATACGAAATTTGATGGAAAACTGACGGAATTATGCTCTCGCGAAGATAGCGACCTTGGCGATATTTACAAATCGGCGATTTCGCCCACTTTGAGCCTTATTTTCGGCTGATTCCATTGTTCCAGTCGACCAAACTCATAGCTATTTCTTGAGAACTCCGTTTTTTTCTATCGATTGAGTACAAGAAACTGCCCATTTACCAATTTCAACTACCCAATAACGTGGTCAGAAATTTGCAATTTGGCCAATTTCACGAAAATTAAAAAATATGACAATTTCAAAATAAGGTCCAGAATGAACAATGCAGACATTCCTGGCTCTAAAATAACATTTTCTTTGTTCATCAGTCATGTCTCCAGGCCCCTCTGATATTACTCTTGCTTTCTATTTCGAATTTTTATTCAAACAAAAAATAGAAGATTTACTATTATGCAGACTACTCCAATACTGTAATAATTGTATAAATAACATGAACCAATTCATGACTGCATATTAGAATGGCTAGTTGGACATTTATTGGACAATGATGTCATTTGTTTACTTTTGAACATCGGCAAAAGTCAAACATTTCCCCTACTTTGAGCTCCATTTCCAGGTTCTTTTTATAGTAAAATCAATCAAAATCATCTCTTTTTCTATAATATTTTTTCCAATCTATCAAATGAGACCAAGAAAACGAGAATATAACCATAAATACTTTAAGAAAATAGACCACAAAGTCGGCATTTTAATTATGCACTGCGTGCTCCAGGATTTTTTTTATGTGGTGCACACTGACCACACAGACCCATTCACTCACATGTGGGCCTACCAGCTTTCTCCTTGATTTGAAGCCACTAGAATTTATGAGTATATATACGTCAAACACAGTACCTTGTAAGACGTATATATACGGCCGCGACAGTCAAAGGGCTAAAAACAGAGTAGGGGAGTTAGTAGATGGGGAGCTGGAGGTATTGGGTAGATGGTGGGAATATTTTGAGGAACTTTTAAATGTCGATGAAGAGAGGGAGGTTGTAATTTCATGCACTGGCCAGGGAGGATAACATCTTTTAGGAGTGAAGAAGAGCGGGATGTGAGTGGGGGGAGGTGCGTGAGGCATTACGTAGAATGAAAGTGGGTATAGCAGCTGGAACTGACGGGATCATGACAGAAATGTTCAAAGCAAGGGGGGATATAGTGTTGGAGTGGTTGGTATTTTTGTTCAATAAATGTATGTACCTAGGTAGTAGGTTGGTAGACAGCAACTGCCCAGGGAGGTACTACCGTCCTGCCAAGTGAGTGTAAAACGAAAGCCTGTAATTGTTTTACATGATGGTAGGATTGCTGGTGTCCTTTTTTCTGTCTCATAAACATGCAAGATTTCAGGTTTGTCTTGCTACTTTTATTTACACTTAGGTCACACTACACATACATGTACAAGCACATATATACACACCCCTCTGGGTTTTCTTCTATTTTCTTTCTAGTTCTTATTCTTGTTTATTTCCTCTTATCTCCATGGGGAAGTGGAACAGAATTCTTCCTCCGTAAGCCATGCATGTTGTAAGAGGCGACTAAAATGTCGGGAGCAAGGGGCTAGTAACCTCTTCTCCTGTATATATTACTAAATGTAAAAGGAGAAACTTTCGTTTTTCCTTTTGGGCCACCCTGCCTCAGTGGGATACGGCTGCTGTGTTGAATGAAGAAGAAATGTATACTACACACACCTCTCTGCATTTTCTGCTATTTACTTTCTGGTACTTGTTCTTGTTTATTTCCTCTTATCTCCATGGGGAAGTGGAGCAGAATTCTTCCTAGCAAGGGGCTAGTAACCCCTTCTCCTGTATAAATTACTAAACTTAAAAAGATAAACTTTTGTTTTTCTTTTTGAGCCACCCTGCCTCGGTGGGATACGGCCAACTTGTTGAAAGAAGAAGAAGAAATGTATGTAGTAGGTTGGTAGACAGCAACCACCCAGGAAGGTACTACCGCCCTACCAAGTGAGTGTAAAACAAAAGCCTGTAATTGTTTTACATGATAGTAGGATTGCTGGTGTCCTTTTTTCTGTCTCATAAACATGCAAGATTTTAGGTATGTCTTGCTACTTCTACTTGCACTTAGGTCACACTACACATACATGTACAAGCATATAGATATACACACCCCTCTGGGTTTTCTTCTATTTTTTTTTTACTAGCTCTTCTTGTTTATTTCTTCTTATTTCTATGG